TGGGTCCAATCTACATTGCCTCTGTGGGCCACGTCTTGGCGGTTGCCGTGGGCGCCCGATGTCACCGCGTCTGACTCGTCGGGGTATGGCATTGGGGTCTGTCGGCGCACGCTGCCCGTCCCCGTCGTCGCCGAGATCGGTCGTCTCGCCGAGAAGGTCAGGTACAGGTTCTATGACGCCATAGCCGCTCGACAACATGCCCTTTCAGGTTCGCCCGAGGTCCCCAGTTCTGCTGTCCAGCGCCCTTCCGGTCACGTTCTGGGTGACGCTCACGAGGCTTCATCAAGTCAGGAGGGCCTACTTCGACCGGAGAAAAAGGTGCAAAAAGATGCCCCGGCAAATTCTGGAAATTCGCCTGGGCATCTTTTCCTGCGTTATCGGGGCCTGGACGACGTCGCCAACTTTGAGAACGCCCTGGACGTCGGGGCGGGGCTCCCTGGCTTCACGGAGGTCCCCGAGGAGATCCTGAGGGAGACCGACTGGAAGGTGGTTCACTCGAGCAGGGTCCACGCGAAGGGGAAGAACATTTTGGAGTCTGAGGGGGACGCTCTGGAGTTCGCCCTCCGCCACCTCCTGCGCTCGGGGCCCTTGCAGGGGCACCGCCTCCTCCTCTTCGTTGACAATTTGGCTCTGGCTCTCAGCGCCGGCAAGGGCCGCGGTCGGACGGCAAATTTGACCAGGCCTCTTCGCCGCATCACCTCTCTGCTGCTCGCCACGGGCTGCAGGGCGTACGTGCGCTGGGTGCCGTCGGAGTTCAACCCGTCAGATGCCCCGTCGAGGTCGGGCTTCTTTGTCGGGCCGCACTGGCAGGGCGATCGTCCACGTGGAGACGGCGCCGCGCGGGCCTCGGCGCGGGAGGCGCCCTCCCCGCGCCATGACGCTGGCGCGCCAGAGGCTCGCCCCGCAGGCGTCCCTGACGGAGCTGAAGTGCGGCCGCCTGAGCTTCCTGGAGGCGGCGGCGCTCACCGACGCCACCGCCAAGAGCTACTCGGCGCACGCCCAGAGGCTGGTCACCTGGTGCCTGTGGATGGGCCTGTCCTGGACTACGTCGTCGGAGCTCGACGTGATCTTGACGGCCTTCCTGGCGCACCTGGCCTTAGACGGCTTCGACACGGCGACGGGGCGGATAACGCTGTCGGCGTTGCGACACCTGCTGCCAGCGCTGGGCCCCCCCCGCGCCGCGCTGCCGAGGGCATGCAGGGCGCTGGACGGCTGGAAGAAGCTGAAGCCGCCCTGCATGCGGCTGCCGATCCCTCGGCCTGCCGCGATGGCGATCGTGGGCGCGATGATCTCGCTCGGCCAGCTGCCCTTCGCGATGTTCGTGCTTCTCTCCTTCGCGGCGTACCTCCGCCCCTCGGAGGCCTTTCGCCTTCGAGGCGATTCGCTGGTGGCGCCGAACCCGCTGGCAGGCAAGGGCTACGGCGAGTGGGGGTTGGTGCTCAACCCGAGCGAGGACGGGCGGCCTGGGAAGACAGGGATCACCGACGAGAGCGTGGCCCTGGATCAGACGGACTGGTGGCCGCTCTGGGCGGCCCTCAAGCTCGCCCGTCCTGGCGGCGCGGCGCTGTGGGACTTCGACGTCGCGGAGGTCCGCGACGCCTTCAACCAGGCGGCCGAGCTGCTGGGGCTGGAGGCGCAGCCCTCTCTGTACGTGCTGCGCCACAGCGCGGCCAGCGACGACTTGCTGGCCGCGCGGCGTTCCCTTCCCGAGGTGAAGGACCGCGGGAGGTGGATCACAGACTCCTCACTGCGCCGCTACGCGAAGAGGACCAAGCTCCAGCAGCAGATCAACAACCTGCCCGACAACGTGATGGAGTTCGGCCAGCGCGTGGACGCGCACCTCGTCATGCTGATCGAGGCGGCAGCGCTGGGGTCGCCTTTCCCGTGGCCGGTGCCCGCGAGGCGGGCCGTCTCGTCTCGTGGCCAGGTGAAACCATCACTGACGAGCAGGTGGACGGCTATCTGACGCGCCAGCTGTCGGCAGCTCTTGCTGCTGCCTGCGTTTTTCCTCGCTCGGTTTTCATTGGGATTGGAAGCGCCTCGTGGCCGATTGTTCGGCGCTGGCGAGCTCGGGGATTCGCCGCCATCTGTTTCGATCCCAACAAGCATCCTGGTCTTGACTGGTCTCGACCCGCGGTGCGCCAGAGGATCTTGGGGTGGCTTCGGGGGTCCCTGGTCCTGGGGGTGTGGGCCTCTCCTTCCTCGGGTCCTGGGCCCCCCTCCTCCCGCTCTCGGGGCTTCTGGGGTTCGCTCGCCACCATGATCCTCGAGAGCCATCGATTAAGGGTCCCTGTTATAGCTGAATGCCCTCTCTGCTCGGCCCAGCCGTCGCTCGCTTCTTTCAGGCACGCGTGCTCGCTAGCCTCGCAGTCTGCCGAATTAAACTTCTGTCAGTACGGAGGCTTGCACCCCCGCCCGACTAAGCTGTGGGCGTGGGGCGCAGATTTTCCGCGACTGAGCGCGCGTCCTCTGTGTGACGGTCGCGGCGGAAGGTGCACTGGCAACAACAAGTTTCACGTCAGATTGACGGCGCTCGATCCCCTTGGCCGCCCATGGGCTCTCAGCGTGAACAGATACCCTCGTGAGTTTTCCCAGTGGGGTGCGGATTGGCTCGTTAATAGTGCGACGAACCTCCGCGACGCGAGGCTCAGTAAGCTTGCGTCGGTAAATGTTTGATAATGTTGTCGGCCGTGGGCCAGGGTCTGCAGGTATGCCAAGTACTGGTCTCTCGAGTTTGGCTGCTGCCCAGTCTGTCTCACGCGCCCGTCTGCTGGCGAGACAGTCGCCCTCGCCCCCTGGCAGCAAATAGCGCCCCTGGCACAATGAATGAAATAAGATCATATAACTGCTTGTAGTGCTTTGATCGTTGCAATGCTCTGTGCCGCAACCGCGTCGGCTCAAGTCTCCCTCCCTCCCCCCCCCTCTCTCGCCTCTCTGGTCTCTCGAGTTTGGCTGCTGCCCAGTCTGTCTCACGCGCCCGTCTGCTGGCGAGACAGTCGCCCTCGCCCCCTGGCAGCAAATAGCGCCCCTGGCACAATGAATGAAATAAGATCATCATTATCATTATCAGCATCATCATCACCACCACCACCACCACCATCATCATCATCATCATCAGCATTATCATCATCATCATCATCATCATCATCATCATCATCATCATCATCATCATCATCATCATCATCATCATTATCATTATCATTATCATCATCGTCTTCCTCCGTAGAATTTCGGCAGACCCCTCACACGTTTCGCTGCTCCAAAGGGAGATTCACCGAAGGGCCCAGCGGCTGTGTCCGCATGCCCCGTCCCATTTTCGGCAGACCCCTCACACCTTTCGTGGCCCTGTCGGGAGCTCCACCGAAGGCATCAGCGGCAAAGTCCGCAAGGCGTCCCCCCCATTTCGGCACACCATTCACGAGGATCGTGGTCCACCGAAGGCCTTCGGGGCAAAGTCCACACGGCATCGCTCGCCCATTTCGGCACCCCTCGCGAGGATCGTGGCCCGACGGGGAGCTCAACCGAACGCCTTCGGAGCAAAGTCCGCATGGCGCCCCCCAGCCCATGTCGGCCCTTTCCTCACCAGGATCGTGGCCCCACAGGGAGCTCCACGAAGGCCCCTCGAGGCCCGGCTGAGCGGCGTCATGCGCGCACGCAGATGGGACCTTGCGGTCCAGTCGAATTCCGATTCGGAGGCTCCTCAAAGTATTCTTGTGTATCGAGTGCCATAGCAGCCTTGTTCTGAGAATGGGTTGAGTTCTTCGCCTGGCTAATTTGTTGTTTTCGGAGGTACGCTCCACCCCCACTTGCCTTTTCCTCCGTGGAGGGGGGCCAACAGATGGGGATGGGAGGGGTGCCCTTGCTCCCTTGGGAGGGAAGGTCCTAGGCGCCTGGCATGGCGCACCGCCTGAACCCAGGCTTGCTGAGCAGCTGACAGTGCATCCTGCAGTCAAAGCGGTGAAACAAGGACCACTTCTGGCTCGGGAGGGGCTCTGGATTTCGGGCCGGTCCTCCGATCGAGGTCGGGCAACCTATTCGAAGCCGAGACTCGTCGAATCGTTCCTCTTGGTAGCACGATGTTTGCACAGTACTTGTATTAATCACAACTGGTATGAGTCAGGGAGAACTAGCTCTACGTGCTCAAGGCATGAAAGCGGACACGTCTCCTTCGGATGCCGTCGGGGAAGTCGTCCTCATTCAGAGGCTCTAGGAAGATGCATGCGTCTGTGTCCCAGTGGTTGAGATCCACTGCGTGACGTCGCCGATGCCCCGGGAGGGTCGCGACGTGCATGTATGGTGGTTTATGAGGAAAATTCTGGAGACCCGACTTTTGGTCGACGTCGGATTTACGCCGAGCCCCCGTCGCATCAGATCGGATTCACATTGGTTTCACGTCGGACTTCCGTCGGAACACGACCGCCCGCTTGGCCAGGGGCCAAGGCTTTCGGCGAGTAGGTCCAGAGCATCTGCGCGCCGGCGGCTCGCAGCTCGGGAAGCTGAGACGTCGCGTCGGCCCCCGGTTTCTCATTCATCGCCCCGCAGCTCGGGAAGCTGAGGCGTCGCCTGGGCCCACAGGCTCCCATTCATCGCCGATGGGGTCCCGTCAGCCCACCCCGCCCAGGAAGGTGCGGTCTCTCTATATCGTGGGATGATCGCTGATCAATCGGTGATGTATCGCCGATTCCAGATCGATGTTTACCCCTCCCAACTGGCCCCCCACCTATCCAGTCGAGGCTGATTAGTAGCTCGACCCTGTCTAAGCAAAGGCACCCTTGTGTCCTTTGTTTCGCGACGCATGCCTTCTACATTCCTATGGCAATGTTGCCCTTGGAAGGGTCCTGTGTCCTCTGGCGTGTCCTCTCCAGTCAACCTCGACTGTAACGTTCCCCACCAGATGGCAGCGGCGGCGGCAAAAACGACGACTACGACGACGACGACGACGACGACGACGACGACGCTGCAGCCAGTGTCAGCGCGCGCACGCGCCCGCGCGCGCAGAGGCGGGCGAGTTCGCCACGTGCCTGGCGCTGGACGTGGCGGCGGCCGTCGCGTTGGTCGTGTGCTTCCCGCACCTGGTGTTCGCCCCCGCTTCTTCTTGGGGAGAGTTGGAGGAGGAAACGGTACCGCTACCCTGGACTCATTTTAGCCTTTGTCGGCGTTCTGAGAGGCCCTCGTGGCCACGGCTGAATTCGTTTCGAAGTTCTGGTCAGAACCCGCATCGGGAGAGGTCCAGGGAGTAGCGTTATCGGTCGTTCTTGGTTCCCCCAGGCATCGCTCCTCCACCCCCACCTGGCCCCTCTCCCCCTAGGGCTGGGCCAGAGAATTTCGAGGCCCGATTGAGAAGATGTTCCGCAAAGGTGGCGCAGAAAGTGTATCCCCCTCCACCTGCCCCCCCCCCTCCGAGGGGTGCAAGGTTGGTGTTGGGTTGCTGTTTTGCTCATTTGTCCTTCGAGGACCGAGGCTCCGAACATTGTGTATTATGGTTGCTCTGGCCAGGGTTGGCCGGTAAGGTTGAGCTGGTGCGTCGTGGGTTTGCAGGAGGGTTGGCAGGAGGTTAGCCACGGTAGAGATTCGACAACCTTGTTCGGTCCAGAAGAAGTTTGCCAGCGTGTTCGCAAGTTCGTGCGGGTTTTTAGGTTCGGTGCCGGACCTCTCTGGCGCCGCCGTTGGCGCTGTTCCGCGCGCCAGCGGAGTGGGTTCCAGCGCCGAACCAAGAAACTTGCGCTGATCTCCGACAGTTATTTTTTGGTGCTGCATCTGCGGGGGACCTTGCTTGTCTGGTAAATTGCTACATTTTCTCTTGTACACGGTGATTCTGATTTTACGTACACGACGCAGATTCGATTCGGATTCGACGCGGATCAGATGTTCGACGTGGGTTCGACGCGGACAGCGGCATGATGGGAACAGGCAGTGCGTCCATAAAAGCGAGACGATAAGATCTAGATGTTCCCAATGTGGGGCAGGTTTTTCCTCTGCTCTCTGCGACCCCTCCCCTCTCGGCCTCCTCGTCGCGGCGGTGGTTGGTGTCGACCGCCCCGCCGCGTCCGGTTGTGCTGGCCGCGCGCGCTTGTTGGTGTCTGCGCTACGCGCGGGCGTTGCGGGGGGTCTAGGTCGTGGCCCAACTTTGGCCAGTTGCTCGGCATCGCTCGGACGTGTGCATTTTTCTCGGCGAGGACCATCGAGGAGCATCTTGGATCACCTTACGAAACAATGAACGCACGAAGCCGAGACGTGCACGGGAAATGGACGTCCGAGCGATGGCAAATTGGCCATTTGGAGAAATTTGGGAGAATCCTTTGGACCCTCCGCGGGACAGCCGCGGGACAACCAGAGGAAAAACCTTGGGGGACAGCCCACGAAGCACCCACGGCCTCGCTCACAAGCATCCCTGGCCAGGAGTCGCATTGCAAGGCGGCCCGCCCTGAAGTCACGTTGCTTTGGGACATCTTCCTCCTTTCTCTCCTGGATTAGGGTCCAGTGACCCCTGGGAAGAGCTAGCCTCGCTCTGGTTCGGCCGAGAGCGTGGCTCAGTTCCTGCTCGGCAGGGCCCCATGGCCGGCTCATCTCAGGATCCTTTTCGTCCTTCGCCTCTGTGCCTTCCCTCCTCTCCCTTTCCTCCTGGCCCGTCCCGGCCTTTTCCCTTTTTGCTGCCAGTATTTCTCCGCCCTGCCGTCCCTCTCCTCCCGTTTCCGTCCCTCCTCTCGTACCCGTCCCCTTCTTCCCCTCTCGTCCCTCTCCCTTCTTCCCCTCTCTCCCTCCCGCCCTCCGTCTATTTACTCCCGTCCCCCCCGCAGGCTCTTCTCATCTCCTCCTTCGTCCTGGCGTCATGCTTGGACTCCACATGGCCCCGCTGCGGTGATTGGCCGCGTGGTGCACAGTGGGGACGTCCCGGATCCAGGCATCACAGTGTTGTACTAAATCCTCCCCCTTCGAGGTCTCAAGTGGTACACGCTGGGGGCGCCCACAGTGGTGCACAGTAGGCGTTTGCAGTGTGTCCTGTCACCTACGAGCTACCAGTGTGCACCATGCGGGTCTGGAACACTTTCCTCACTGTGCACCTCTAGTGTGGTGCCAAACGTGTGTGCAGCGCTACGTCAGCCAAGCGCCATTCCCGGTGTGCACCAGCCCGGTGTGTACCACCTTGGGGGCCATGTGTCTGGCTCCACGGCCGCTTTTGGCCAACGCTGGCAAGTTGCCTCAAGAGGTCCTTGGCGGCTGGTGCCAGGATCAACCACGCCAGGATGCTGATCACTCTGGCCAAGCGGACGGCCCCAGGGCCAAGCTGGCCAATGGGTGGGAGCCTGGTCGACCAGGCCAAAGAGGCCGAGAGGCAACGCCAGGAAAAACACAAGCTGTAGTTTGTTTATTACGCGCTCGTGCCAGCGGCGGCAAACAAAAACAATGCAATCTGAACGGCAACGGGCACCTTTGCGATGAGTGGCGGCGCTTGTGATTGCACCTCCATCCAAACGCGAGGCGTTGGCGACGGCGACGCACGCTGTCCTACAAGGGCCTGGACCTTGATTCCCTGATCACTACAGGCGGAGCACAGCTCATTTTAATTTCGACTCCAACGCCATTGTGACGAGTTTCAAAGTGTCCTGCCATGTTTTGTTCCCTGATCCAATCACTCAGATGCTAATTACCAGGTTCCGACGTCAGGTTTTGCCTCCGCGTGCACCAGCCCCACTTTGCGCCTATCAGGCGTCGCGCACGTTCCGTTCCCGTGCGGCTGTGCGGAAGTTGCATGTGTCTTGTTTGGCTGGCGAGGCGCATGAGGAGACGGCTCGCGCCAATCCCAGCAGACATTCGCGAACAACCAGTGCAATGGATGACTGCGCCGCCCTGCGGACGCGCCCGTAGCCATCGAGGCCCATTGCGCGATGAGAAAGTAGTCATGCGTCTGAGCCAGTTCGTGGGCAATCTGCGAAAAGTCAAGATCACCTGCCGATGTGCCCGTGACGGCATCCCCTCTCTTCTCCTTCCCAGGCACCCCCCCTCCTACTCTCTCCGCCCCTCCCCTTGGAACACATCGTCCTCCTTGTGATTGTGGTACTCTGAATGAGCAGGGCGTCCAACCGCAACCTTCCCTGAGCAACAGCATCGCCGCAGCTCGGCGGCAAAGGCTCGGCAGATGGCCTCCGCCCATTCCCCTGACCGTGCTGTTGGAATCTCGACCCCCTCGATTGCCCTTGCCTCCCCCCCCTCCTGCCCTCCCTCCGTCTGCATCCCCTCCTTCCCTTTTCAGCACCCTCCTGCTGGAGGGGCAGCTGGGAGGAAAGGAATGATGAGGAGGCAGGCGTACAATCGGCTGCTATCAAGCTGAAGTCGGTAGTAACCGACCGACCGACCTGATGAGACCTCTCCCGCCCGCCCGCCCCGTCCCGTAGCAATGAACGCAGAGCAAATGCACCGCCTGTAGCCTGCAATAGTTGTGTGACCTATGATGCATTGTGCAGTGCACGCCGTGACAAGCGGTGAAGTGCACGTCGGCGAGCTGTGCGTGTGTCTTGCCTCACCGCACTCGGCAGGCGGCGCAGGGCCAGCGTCGGTACGTCCGCACCTCGAGCCCTCAAGGGAAGGGCCCCCCCCCCCCCAGGTTACGTGGCACCTGTGGGCGCTGGCCGCCCTCCTGGGGGCGCTCCTCGTGGCGGCGCCCCTGGGTCTCGGCCGAAGCGCCGCCGCCGCCGCCGCCCACCCTCTCCGCGAGAGGCGCGCCGCGGAGGCGGCCCGCGCAGGCCGCTGTGCAATGTTGCCGCGCCCCCGCGCGCCAGGCCCCACTGTCTCTCCCGATCGCGCGGGTGCCGTCGGCAAGCTTTCGGGTCCCCTGACGTCTTCTGATTGCGGAGAAGCTCGGCCCGGTTTCTCGACCTCCGGGGGCCCTCGCCGGGCGGGCACGAGGGACCGCAGGCAAAAAACGACTCGGGATGAAGACGGGGCCCGAGGAAGGGGTCCAGAGTCCCGACCCCTGAACAGGACGTCGGATGTCTGGGTCCCCGGGCCCACCCCTGGCGCAGAGGGTTCTGGAGGGCTTGCCGGTGGCAGTGGCGGCCTGGGGGGCCCCCTTGGGCGGGCGGGTGGCCGAGGCGTTTGTTGATGGCATTCCTCGATCGTGTTTGCCATGTTGCTGTGGCAAGTTCGTGTCGTGTCGACACGGCGTCGGCCCCAGTGCGGCGTTCAAGGTTGAACACCGCCAGCGGCCAAGAATCGGCCAAAATCCAGCGGTCCCGCGATCGCTCAAGGTCAAACGATCCACGCGGTGCCAGAAACCAGCGCAGAAGTAGCCACGACACGACACGAATCCGGACTCAGAATATCGGACCTAGCTTTTCTGCATATTGTATTTACAGAAAAATAAACACGTTGCGCTCGCGTGGTAATTTGTCTCTCTCGTTTAGACACTGTTTTACGTTAGTAGCCACAGTTGTCTTAAGTACGTGCCGTTGGGCGTGATTTGTTCGGGCCAAGCCGGGGAGTTTGCAGCAACATCATCATCAGCTGGCGTCAGTGCCAATATGCGCTGCATGCGGGACGCATTCTAATATATGCTTTTATATAGAGATTCCGAAATCGCTCCACGGCGGGCGAGGGTCAAATCGTTGATCGAATCACGAGAACAGCAAGAACGCCCGTCATACCTTTGAAAGAGCGCCCGTACGGAAGTCAATACTAAAATGGGAGACCCAGTTTCAAGCTACCCCCCCCCCTTCCTTCGAAAAGGGTGGGGGAGTTTCCGAAGCTACACCCCCCCCCTCCCTTTTGGAACCATTTCTGAGCTGGGGGGGCCCTGGCTAAAGAGGAGGGGGCTTTTAAGCTACCCCCCCCTTCCTCTCTTTTCGGGGCCAGAGGGAAGCCTGGGCTCGCCTTTATAAGGGGGGGGCTTCCGAAGCTACCCCCCTCCCCCCTCCCTTTTGGAAGCATTTTTGAGCTGGGGGGGGCCCTGGCTAAGGGGGGGGGTGGGCTTCGAAGCTACCCCCCCTTCCCACCTTTCGGGGCCAGGGGTAAGCCCGGGCTCCCCTTTCTAAAGGTGAGGGCTTCGGAAGCTACCGCCCCCTCCTTCGCAGCCGGGGTC